AAGATGTTCATATTCACCCCCCCAACTCCACCGTCTCCACCCGCCACAGATGTTCATATTCACCCCAACTCCACCGTCTCCACCCGCTACAGATGTTCATATTCACCCCAACTCTACCGTCTCCACCTGCCACAGATGTTCATATTCACCCCAACTCCCCCACCGTCTCCACCTGCCACAAGATGTTCATATTCACCCCAACTCCACCGTCTCCACCTGCCACAGATGTTCATATTCACCCCAACTCCACCGTCTCCACCTGCCACAAGATGTTCATATTCACCCCAAACCTCACCGTCTCCACCCGCCACAGATGTTCATATTCACCCCAACTCCACCATCTCCACCTGCCACAAGATGTTCATATTCACCCCAACCTCACCGTCTCCACCCGCCACAGATGTTCATATTCACCCCAACTTCACCGTCTCCACCTGCCACTCAATGTTCATATTCACCCCAACTCCACCTGCCACTCAATGTTCATATTCACCCCAACTTCACCGTCTCCACCTGCAACAAGATGTTCATATTCACCCCAACTCCACCGTCTCCACCCGCCACAGATGTTCATATTCACCCCAACTCCACCGTCTCCACCTGCCAAAGATGTTCATATTCACCCCAACTCCACCGTCTCCACCCGCCACAGATGTTCATATTCACCCCAACTCCACCGTCTCCACCTGCCACTCATGTTCATATATTCACCCCAACTCCACCGTCTCCACCCGCCACAAGATGTTCATATTCACCCCAACTCCACCGTCTCCACCTGCCACTCAATGTTCATATTCACCCAACTCCACCGTCTCCCACCTGCCACTCAATGTTCATATTCACCCCAACTCCACCATCTCCACCTGCCACAGATGTTCATATTCACCCCAACCCACGGTCTCCACCTGCCACAGATGTTCATATTCACCCCAACTCCACCGTCTCCACCTGCCACAAGATGTTCATATTCACCCCAACTCCACCGTCTCCACCCGCTACAGATGTTCATATTCACCCCAACTCTACCGTCTCCACCTGCCACAGATGTTCATATTCACCCCAACTCCACCGTCTCCACCTGCCACAAGATGTTCATATTCACCCCAACCTCACCGTCTCCACCTGCACTCAATGTTCATATTCACCCCAACTTCACCGTCTCCACCTGCCACAGATGTTCATATTCACCCCAACTCTACCGTCTCCACTGCCACAAGATGTTCATCTTCACCCCAACTCCACCTGCCACAAGATGTTCATATTCACCCCCAACTCCACCGTCTCCACCGCCACAGATGTTCATATTCACCCCAACTCCACCGTCTCCACCTGCCACTCATGTTCATATTCACCCCAACTCCACCGTCTCCACCTGCCACAGATGTTCATATTCACCCCAACTCCACCGTCTCCACCTGCCACTCAATGTTCATATTCACCCCAATTCCACCGTCTCCACCTGCCACTCATGTTCATATTCACCCCAACTTCCACGTCTCCACCCGCCACAGATGTTCATATTCACCCCAATTCCACCGTCTCCACCTGCCACTCATGTTCATATTCACCCCAACTCCACCGTCTCCACCCGCCACAGATGTTCATATTCACACCCCAACTCCACCGTCTCCACCTGCCACAATGTTCATATTCACCCCAACTCCACCGTCTCCACCTGCCACAAGATGTTCATATTCACCCCAACTCCACCTGCCACAAGATGTTCATATTCACCCCAACTCCACCTGCCACAAGATGTTCATATTCACCCCAACTCCACCTGCCACAAGATGTTCATATTCACCCCCAACTCCACCTGCCACAAGATGTTCATATTCACCCCAACTCCACCTGCCACAAGATGTTCATATTCACCCCAACTCTACCGTCTCCACCTGCCACAAGATGTTCATATTCACCCAACCTCACCGTCTCCACCGCCACAGATGTTCATATTCACCCCAACTCCACCGTCTCCACCTGCCACAGATGTTCATATTCACCCCAACCTCACCGTCCTCCACCCGCCACAGATGTTCATATTCACCCCAACTTCACCGTCTCCACCTGCCACTCAATGTTCATATTCACCCCAACTCCACCGTCTCCACCTGCCACTCAATGTTCATATTCACCCCAACTCACCGTCTCCACCTGCCACAAGATGTTCATATTCACCCCAACTCCACCGTCTCCATCTGCCACTCATGTTCATATTCACCCCAACTCCACCGTCTCCACCTGCCATAAAATTTTCATATTCACCCCAACTCCACCGTCTCCACCCGCCACAGATGTTCATATTCACCCCAACTTCCTTCTCCTGCCGGTGACCCCTCTAGTGATATAAGGATCTATATAGAGGAATCAGGACCTCCTTCCTCCTGCCGGTGACCCCTCTAGTGATAGGATCTATATAGAGGAATCAGGACCTCCTTCCTCCTGCCGGTGACCCCTCTAGTGATAGGATCTATATAGAGGAATCAGGACCTCCTTCCTCCTGCGGTGACCCCTCTAGTGATAGGATCTATATAGAGGAATCAGGACCTCCTTCCTCCTGCCGGTGACCCCTCTAGTGATAGATCTATATAGAGGAATCAGGACCTCCTTCCTCCTGCCGGTGACCCCTCTAGTGATAGGATCTATATAGAGGAATCAGGACCTCCTTCCTCCTGCCGGTGACCCCTCTAGTGATAGGATCTATATAGAGGAATCAGGACCTCCTTCCTCCTGCCGGATAGATGCCAGTCATTAAAGAGTCCCTAAAAATGAGAAACAATGGCTGTGAGATGACAGAGCTGAATTCTGTAAGGCCCCGTGGGTGTATGCCATCCGGTCCACGGGCTTTATTCACCTCTATTCTATTCTATAATATTTGTGAGCCAATGTGGATGATGTGGGGGGTGTCAGTACCACGCCCATTATGGACAAGAGCCCCCCATGCTCCTTTGTATACACAGAGCTGAAGAGGGATGTCATACATTGTCCTTCTCTTTGTCCCCCCCCCTCTAGATGGTTCTGTAAAGGGCCTACATGCTGGGACCGGACCTTTCTACTATTCATAGATTGGAGGAATGTTTTGGGGGGGTCCTGATATCTTTCTGTGGTTTGTTTTCAGTTTTTGTGCCTTTATTTCCTTTCTGCATCTTCTGTTCTATTCTTTGTAATGTGTAAACGATGATGGCGTTCCTTCATTGTTATCTGGAATAAAAGCTCTTTTCTTCTTATCTATGGCTTTTGTCACTTTGGCCGGAAGACACAGAGGTTGGATTTGTAGCCTTTTATACGTGGTGCCCACGGGGATATATTCTGCAGTGTGGTCACATACAGTCTTTGTGAAGAACTCCCATTTCTGTGTTGTGTTCATCCATGCCAATATTCCTCCCAGTCTAAGTCTTGGAGAGCAGATCTCAGCCTTGGAGAATTAGCTCTCTTAAAGTTCAGCGTTTTTATTCTCCCCGTATGTGCTCGCTGTTTACAGCTAACAATGAAATCATGTTATGGTCACGGCTACCCAGATGTTCTATATATGGACATTCGTAATAATCTCTGCATGGTTGGAGATGACCAGGTCCAGCAGAGCATCATTCCTAGTTGGGGAGATGACCAGGTCCAGCAGAGCATCATCCATTCCTAGCATCATTCCTAGTTGGGGCCTCTATGACCAGGTCCAGCAGAGCATCATTCCTAGTTGGGGCCTCTATGACCAGGTCCAGCAGAGCATCATTCCTAGTTGGGGCCTCTATGGGTCCAGCAGAGCATCATTCCAGGTCCAGCAGAGCATCATTCCTAGTTGGGGCCTCTATGACACAGGTCCAGCAGAGCATCATTCCTAGTTGGGGCCTCTATGAACACAGGTCCAGCAGAGCATCATTCCTAGTTGGGGCCTCATACAATTGTCCTGTAGTAGGTTTCATTCCTACATTTTTGTCCTTTAACCAGGTCCAGCAGAGTTCCTGCAGTCCCATTACTCCAGTCAGTTTCCTCCAGTCAGTTTCCAGGTAGTTAGGTCCAGCAGAGCATCCATTTACCATCCCCCATTATTATCACTGTCCCCCCCTTTCCATCTGTGGGAGGAGCTGAGTCTCCACCTCCTCATTAACACTGGGAGGCCTATAACAAACTCCAATGATGACCTTTGTAGTACCGCCCCCCACCGCCCCCCATGTGCAGCTCCACCCATAATACTTCAGCCTCATCACACTCTCCATCACTAGGTCCTCTCACACTCGCTGAGATCACTTCTCACAGAGAGACAGACTCCACCCCCTTTCCTATTCCAGACAGACTCCACCCCCTTTCCTATTCCAGACAGACTCCACCCCCTTTCCTATTCCAGACAGACTCCACCCCCTTTCCTATTCCCCCGTCTCTCCGAAAGAGAACCTAGCCAGGAATATGAATGGCCCAGTCATGTGAGGAATGAAGCCAAGATTCAGCAATACCAATCCAATCCTAGTTCTCTTCATTCACCAAACCTTCCAACTCACCTATTGTGCTGGGCAGACTTCTGGCATTGGGGAACAAACACTTCCATTCACTGACCTCCTTCATTCACTCACTCTCCATTCACTGACTGACTCCCATTCACTGACCATCCTTCACCTCCATTCACTGACCTTTCCATTCACTGACACCTCCGTTCATTCATTGACTTCATTCCCTGACACCTTGACACTGACTTGTTCACTGACACTTGTTCACACGGATTTTGTGTATTTTTTATTTTCATACAAATGGTACCAATTCCACTGGTTGTTTGTAACATGGGAACCTTCTTACCATCTGCCATAGCCCTCCCCCCATCTTTCCCCATTCTGCCCCCCAATAAGGACTGACCCCGGTCTGATCTGTCTACCACGATATAATCCCTGATGTACAGGAAGACAGGACTTCAGTGAGGGACATTTCCCTCACTCTGGACAGGAAAGTGGCTTCTCCCCCGTGTGAGATCTCTGATGTTTGTAAAGACCGAACTTCTATGAAAAACATTCCCGCACTCAGGACAGGAATACGGCTTTCCCCCCTGTGTGAGATCTCTGATGTCTGAAGTTGGACTTATGGAAAAAACATTTTCCCGCACTCAGGACAGGAATACGGCTTCTCCCCCGTGTGAGATCTCTGATGTGTGTTAAGTTTGGACTTATATGAAAAAACATTTTCCCGCACTCAGGACAGGAATATGGCTTTTCCCCCGTGTGAGATCTCTGATGTGTGTTAAGATGGGACTTCACTGAAAAACATTTCCCGCACTCAGGACAGGAATACGGGTTTTTCCCCCGTGTGAGATCTCTGATGTTTGTGAAGATAGGACTTCGCTGAAAAACATTTCCCGCACTCAGGACAGGAATACGGCTTTCTCCCCCGTGTGAGATCTCGATGTGTGGGAAGATAGGACTTATTTGAAAAACATTTCCCACACTCAGGACAGGAATACGGCTTCTCCCCCGTGTGAGATCTCTGATGTGTGTGAAGATTGGGATTTTGTGAAAAACATTTCCCGCACTCAGGACAGGAATACGGCTTCTCCCCGTGTGAGATCTCTGATGTGGAAAGATGTATGATTTTTTTAAAAAACATTTCCCGCACTCAGGACAGGAATACGGCTTCTCCCCCGTGTGAGATCTTTCTGATGTGATTAAGTTTAATTTTTTCTTTGGAAACATTTCCCACACTCAGGACAGGAATATGGCTTCTCCCCCGTGTGAGATCTCTGATGTATATTAAGATGGGATTTTTTGAAAAACATTTCCCGCACTCAGGACAGGAATACGGCTTTCTCCCCGTGTGAGATCTCTGATGTGAGTAAGAAGATTATACTTCTGTGAAAAACATTTCCCGCACTCAGGACAGGAATACGGCTTCTTCTCCCCCGTGTGAGATCTCTGATGTGTGTGAAGATTGGAATTATGTGAAAAACATTTCCCGCACTCAGGACAGGAATACGGCTTTCTCTCCCGTGTGAGATCTCTGATGTCTGGAAAGATAGTACTTGGCTGAAAAAAACATTTCCCACACTCAGGACAGGAATACGGCTTTTCCCCCGTGTGAGATCTATGATGTGTGATGAGTGTAGGACTTTTTTTGAAAAACATTTCCCACACTCAGGACAGGAATATGGCTAACTTCCCCCGTGTGAGATCTTTGATGTGACTGAAGATGGGACTTATTTGAAAAACATTTCCCGCACTCAGGACAGGAATATGGCTTCTCCCCCGTGTGAGATCTCTGATGTACGATAAGTGTTTGTTTTGTAGGAAAAACATTTCCCACACTCAGGACAGGAATACGGCTTCTCCCCCGTGTGAGATCTTATATGCTCTGATAAGTGATTTATATTGGAAAACATTTCCCGCACTCAGGACAGGAGAACCTCTTCTCCCCTGTTGGAAGGCTCGGCCCGGTCCCGCACAGTCTGAGGTTCCTCAGGATACGAGGAATCCGATGGTCCATCTACACTGGGTGGTGCCGGATGGACATTGGAGGGAGCCGGGTTTTCTCCTGGACTATACTGTGTGATGTCCTCATCTTCTACTTTCCAGTCTGGAGACAAAGTGAGACAATCCTCGGAGGTTTTTTCCTCATCTCCCGGCCATGGACTAAAATACAAAGACAAAGAGGATTACTAGACAGGAGCTGATTGGTTCTCCCCCAAACCAGGACTCCGCCCACATCAGGCAGCTTTGGTCTCTGAGGAGCTTACAATTTTCCACCCTCAAGGGAACTAGGAAATGGCTCCTCTGATCTCCTACCAGGTCATTTCTTTATTCATGGACCTTAGTCAGAGAGTGAGGAAACAACCAGAACTGTCTTTTATAGGAGGGACAGTGATGAGGGGATTATAGGACGAGGGTCCCCCCCCCCCTCTATCACTCATCGCCATCTTCCCAACACAAGAAGTACTGCACTTCCTGATTTACTCCATGATTTAGTCATGAAGAACAGCGGGGCTGAGCCCCACCAGAGGTCAGAGAGTGAGGATGGGGGGAGAACAACCAAGATGAAGACTGGACTGATCCTGAAGACCACCATCATTGGGGTATTGACTCCTCCCTCATCCTGAAGACCACCATCATTGGGGTATTGACTCCTCCCCCATCCTGACCCTGAAGACCACCATCATTGGGGTATTGACTCCTCCCTAATCCTGAAGACATTTCCCCATCATTGGGATATTGACTCTCTCTCCCTCATCCTGACCCTGGCCAACATCATTGGGGTATTGGCTCCTCCCTCATCCTGACCCTGAAGACCACCACATCATTGTGGTATTGACTCCTCTCCCTCCCCATCCTGACCCTGAAAGACCACCATCATTGGGGTATTGACTCCTCCCTCATCCTGAAGACCACCATCATTGGGGTATTGACTCCTCCCTCATCCTGAAGATCACCATCATTGGGGTATTGCTCCTCCCTGACCCTGAAGACCACCATCATTTGGGTATGATTCCTCTCTTCCCCATCCTGAAGACCACCATCATTGGGGTATTAGAACTCCTCTCCCCATCCTGAAGACCACCATCATTGGGTATTAAAATCCTGATCCTGAAGACCACCATCATTGAGGTATTGTCTCCTCCCTCATCCAGGAAGACCACCATCATTGGGGTATTGACTCCTCCCTCATCCTGAAGACCACCATCATTGGGGTATTGACTCCTCCCTCATCCTGACCCTGAAGACCACCATCATTGGGGTGTTGACTCCTCCCCCCCATCCTGAAGACCACCATCTTTGGGGTATTGACTCCTCCCACATCCTGAAGACCACCATCATTGGGGTATTGACTCCCTCATCCCCCTCATTGGGGTATTGACTCCCCACCCTCCATCTGAAGACCACCATCATTGGGGTATTGACTCCTCCCCCATCCTGACCTCTGAAGACCATCATCATTGGGGTATTGACTCCTCCCCTCATTCTGAAGACCACCATCATTGGGGTATTGACTCCTCCCCCCTCATCCTGAAGACCATCATTGGGGTGGGGACTCCTCCTCCCTGACCCTGAAGACCACCATCATTGGGGTATTAACTCCTCCCCCACCATCCTGAAGACCACCATCATTGGGTATTGCTCCTCCTCCCTCATCCTGAAGACCAACATCATTGGGGTATTGACTCCTCCCTCATCCTGACCTGAAGACCACCATCATTGGGGTATTGACTCCTCCCTCATCCTGAAGACCACCATCATTGGGGTATTGACTCCTCCTCTGACCCTGAAGACCACCATCATTGGGGTATTGACTCCTCTCCCCATCCTGACCCTGAAGACCACCATCATTGGGGTATTAGCTCCTCCCCCATCCTGAAGACCACCATCATTGGGGTATTGACTCCTCCCTCATCCTGAAGACCACCATTATTGGGGTATTGACTCCTCCCTCCCATCCTGAAGACCACCATCATTGGGGTATTGACTCCTTTCCTCATCCTGACCCTGAAGACCACCATCATTGGGGTATTGACTCCTCCTCATCCTGACCCTGAAGACCACCATCATTGGGGTATTGACGACTCCTCCCCCATCCTGAAGACCACCATCATTGGGGTATTGACTCCTCCCTCATCCTGACCTGAAGACCACCATCATTGGGGTATTGGCTCCTCCCCCATCCTGAAGACCACCATCATTGGGGTATTGACTCCTCCCTCATCCTGACCCTGAAGCCACCATCATTGGGGTATTGACTCCTCCCCTCATCCTGAAGACCACCATCATAGGGGTATTGACTTCTCCCTCATCCTGAAGACCACCATCATTGGGGTATTGACTCCTCCCTCATCCTGATCCTGAAGACCACCATCATTGGGGTATTGACTCCTCCCTCATCCTGAAGACCACCATCATTGGGGTATTAACTCCTCCCCTCATCCTGAAGACCACCATCATTGGGGTATTGGCTCCTCCCCCCATCCTGAAGACCAACATCATTGGGGTACTGGCTCCTCCCCCATCCTGAAGACCAACATCATTGAGGTATTGACTCCTCCCTCATCCTGAAGAACACCATCATTGGGGTATTGACTCCTCCCTCATCCTGAAGACACCATCATTGGGGTATTGACTCCTCCCTCATCCTGAAGACCACCATCATTGGGGGGGTTCCTCCCTTATGCTGAAGACCACCATCATTGGTGTATTGACTCCTCACTCATCCTGAAGACCACCTGTGTCCTGAACTGTGTCTCCCTTTGTACACCGAGTAGCACCTGTGTTCTGAACTGGTGTGTGCACCTGCCACCGTGTCCTAACTGTGCCTGCTGGTGCAGGACCACCCGTGTCCTGATGGCATGCCCGGAGTATAGCTACCTGTGGTGCCCCTGAGTGCTTGAGCCATCTACTACCGGTTGAGTCCACGAGTGCCTCTGCCCAGTGGTAGGTTGCGCCTGATATATAGCCCCTGCCCAGTGGTAGGTTGCCGCCTGTTACCCGAGCCCCTGCCCAGGGGTCAGGATTGCCGCCTGTACAACCGAGTATAGTGCAGTCCCATCACAGATGGAATCGGCTAGGCCCCAACCTTAGGGGGGATATTGCCTGCCTGGGGTCAGGAGCCGATGTACAACCCCCCCGCCTGGAGTATATAGTGTCCCAGGGTTTGTGCACACATCACCCTCAGTGCAGGGGTCATTGAGTGTCTGTCATTTTGTTAATTCAATAAAGCTTTGAGTGTTCCCCATCTTCTCCGTGGCCCTGTCCTGCCTGCGCTTATTTACAGTCACCTACCCTCCTCACTTTAGACGCACCCTGTAAACCCACCTCTTGCAGGGGTACCCCACCCCCATGTACAACACGATCTATCCATTCCAGGGGTCAGGAGTTGTAATGTACCACTACGGAGTATATAGATGCAGGGGTCAGGAGGATGGTAATGTACAACACGTGTGTATTTGTTGTGCTGGTCAGTGAGTATGTAATGTACAACACGGAGTACAGCGCTGAGCAGGAGTATGTAATGTATTGGTGCTATACAAACTCCATGTAATGTAGACAACATGTAGAGGTGAGCTGGGATTAACCGGAGTATGTACCATCATGAAATCGGTTAGATTGGTGGTGAGGAAATCCTTGGACAGAGGGGTGGCGGTGGATGTGGTGTACTTGGACAGAGGTGGGGGTGGATGTGGTATACTCGGACAGAGGGGGGTGGCGGTGGACGTGGTATACTCGGACAGAGGGGTGGCGGTGGACGTGGTATACTCGGACAGAGGGGTGGCGGTGGACGTGGTATACGGACAGGACAGGTGGGGTGACGTGGTGGACGTGGTACACTGGGGGGACGGACAGAGGGGTGGGGGTGGACGTGGTACACTCGGACAGAGGGGTGGGGGTGGACGTGGTATACTCGGACAGAGGGGTGGCGGTGGACGTGGTATACTCGGACAGAGGGGTGGGGGTGGACGTGGTATACTCGGACAGAGGGGGGGGCGGTGGACGTGGTATACTCGGACAGAGGGGTGGCGGTGGACGTGGTATACTCGGACAGAGGTGGCGGGGGGTGGCGGTGGACGTGGTATACTCGGACAGAGGGGTGGCGGTGGACGTGGTATACTTCGGACAGAGGGGTGGCGGTGGACGTGGTATACTCGGACAGAGGGGGGGCGGTGGACGTGGTATACTTGGACAGAGGGGGGGGCTGTGGACGTGGTATACTCGGACAGAGGGGGTGGTGGTGGACGTGGTATACTTGGACAGAGGGGGGCGGTGGACGTGTGGTATACTCGGACAGGGGGGGGGTGGCGGTGGACGTGGTATACTCGGACAGAGGGGTGGACAGAGGGGTGGACGTGGTATACTTGGACACAGTTCCCACACACAGCTAATGTGTAAGGTAAAAAGTCTATGGGCTGGAAAAATCTGAATATAAATGGATAGAAAACTGGCTGAAAGATCGTATTCAGAGAGTAGTGGTTAATGATTCATACTCTGCATGGTCTGGGGGTGTCAGTGGGGGACCCCAAAGGTCAGTGTCACCTGTGGGGTACCCTAAAGGTCAGTATGATCAGTGGGGTACCCCAAGGCTCAGTATGATCAGTGGGGTACCCCAGGGCTCAGTATTAGCGGGGTACCCCAAGGCTCAGTATTATTAGTGGGGTACCCCAAGGCTCAGTATTAGTGGGGTACCCCAAGGCTCAGTGTATTAGTGGGGTACCTCAAGGATCAGTGTGATTAGTGGGGTACCCCAAGGTTCAGTGTGATTAGTGGGGTACCCCAAGGTCAGTGTGATTAGTGGGGTACCCCAAGGATCAGTGTGATTAGTG